GCACCACATGCCAGCCAGCCGCGCCCCCTGGTGGGCTGAGCTGGCCACACACACACACAATAAATAAATGTTAAAAAAAAAGAAAAATTAAAAAAAAAAAAAAAAGAATGAAGGAGGTGGGCTGTCTCATCTTGTCTGTCTTATATAGTAGTTATACCCCAAATCTGTGAAGTCAAATTTATTTATAGTATTTTTTGAAAGTAATACAAATTTTTTTTTGCAGGTTTAAAGATATGACTCCCTACACATCTGGTGTTCCTCCAGGGTCCTTATATAGTTGTTTATGCTTGACACCTGTCAGCCTGGTGGCCCATATCCAATCTATCACTGCACCTTCCTGAGTTGGCTTTTCAAATAGCTCTTGAAACTTTATCCTTTTGTCTCTTTGGTTATTAACTACCTGTAGGCTGTGTAGAGTAGGCATCACAAGCGTGGTCCCTGGAATTAGGATGCCTCAGTTTTCATCTGCAAAATGGGTGTTATTCTAATAATAGCATACATGTCACAGGAGTTCAATGAGCCAGTAAAGATGATGCATTTAGAACAGTGCCCAGTTAGTTGCCTTGAGGACTCGTACCACTGAAGTACTTCCCTGGACTTGAGTCTGTCTCAAGTCATTATGGTCCATCTCTGGCCCTTTCTCCTCATTGTCATCAGAACAATCTTTTTTTAAAGAATTGCCCCTTCCTTGCATGTAACAGGTGCTATAGAAATATATAACGTGGTCTTTCCATGTAGCATGGCTTTTCACACCCTTCACTTGCACCGTGGCTCGCTGCACGCCTGCCTCTGCAGCAGCAGCTCTCGCTCGTTCGCTCCCTGTTACAACCCCAGGTGTCATGAGTGACACAAGTGCGCGGTCGTCACTCACGTGAGCACCTCCATCACCAGGCAGGTCCTTCCCCGTATGCGCTTGCCTCCTCTTCCTTACCTTGTCAGAGTTCAGCTCGCCAGTCCCTGTCTCGGGAGGCTTTCCTGAGCACGCCTGCCTGATCGTTCCAACCAGGT